TAGCAGCAAAATAATCCTATGGCTTGGCGGGGTGGGCTGGGGTGGGGGGAATCACCACATCATGAGGAACTGAATTAAAGGATCGCAGCATTGGAAAGGTTGAGAGCCACTGCTCTATCAGCTAAGGAGGCCGCAGTGGTTTCCTGTGGCCACTGGAAGAAATCATTCCACCACTTGTGACTTACCCACAGAAGTTCACGCTTCCATGGCTCCAGAGGCCAAAGGCAATAGTCATCTTGTGGGTCAAAATCAAGATACAGGCTGGCTACATTCTGCTGCAAGCCCCAGGTGAGAAGCTCTTGGCCTCTTTCACCTCAAGTGGCTCCAGGTAGGCCATGGTTTGGGCAACGCGAGCCATCCCTGCCTCTGTGGGTCACAGTGCCTCCTGGTCTGTCTGCCATCTCCTTGTGCCTCCCTCATATGAGGACATTTTGGTGCATTTACACTCCACAGGGTTCATCAAGGTCTTGAGATACCTCCTCGAAATCCTTAATGGGATTACAGGTTTGACGAACTAGAATATGGACACTTGGGGCTTTATTATTACACTACCCCCCAAAGGGTACTTCTAGAGAGGAGAAACTGAGGCACACACACAGTATAGGCAACACAGAATTAGATTCTCTTTGGAAACGGAAGCCTGGAGTTGGAATTCCCAGATCCACTTCTCTGCCACTAACTACTGTCCCCACATGAGTCATACATTGAGGCCCAGGACAGGCAGGGCCAGTTCTGTCTTTATACATCTTGGTGTCCAGAGCCAGGGTCCTTCTGGACCTCCTGACTCCTCTTTCCTGCCCCCATGTTCCCCCTGGCGCCGCGTGGGAGGCCCTGGCTTCGAGACAGAGGGGTCTGACCTCCCGGCAAGAGCTCTGCTTTTCCCGTCTCTGTGTGAGAGAGAAGCATCACTCTCCAGGACGGGCTGCTCAGCTCCACGGTGGGGGAGGCTAGGAGGCTGTAAATCCCTGCCCGCCCACGGAAACAGCTGGGGCCTGGGCACATCCTGTGGACTTAACTCCTTCCAGGCTCATGGACTCTCCCTTTGGCCTGAGCTTGGAGGAGGTAGAGGCTTCCTCGGGACCAAGCAGGGTTTCTACCGCCGTCTGTGATGCTGGCAACTGGCCCTAGTACTGCTTGATGAGGGGACTTGAGAACTGACCCTCCTGCCCAAAGTCAGGAAGGGCTGGGCTAGTTAACTCTTGGTATGGCTGGCAAAGACCGCCGCAGGATGGGTGTGGCCTGGGGCGCAGGAGCCTGCCTGGCTGGAGCCATTGCTAGCACCCAGGAGGCCCACTGTGCTGAGCCAGACGATGCGGGGGTTCTGGGATAAATCCTGGAGCAGCTGGTCATGCTGGGCGCGCACACACCTGGCCCCGGGCAGGGATGCAAGCCATCCAGGGAGCAGGGGCTGTGTTTGTCTTTGGCAGATACTAAGTTCTCTATAAATGGCTCAATGGACGCGGACGGTTTCCTGCTCTCCCAAAGTATTTCTCCTCTTCTTTTCCCCCTCTCTCCTCCTTCCCTTCTTTTCTCATCCTATAGCCCAGGCTGGCTTGAGATGCTGAGTTCTCCTGCCTCTGCCTGCCGACTGCTGGGATCACAGGTGTGCACTGCTAAGGCGACTTTAATATGAAGTGGCTTCCCCACCTAGTGCTGGGGAATCAAACGCAGAGAATTGCATGTGCTGGGCACGTACTCTGCTACACTGCTACATGCTCAGCCCTTCACTCCCTTTTCTGCATCTTCTTTCAAACATTTTTTAATTAATTAACTTGTTTTTGTTTGTATGCATATGGGCAAATGCATGCCATGGTGTGTGTGTGTGTGTGAAGACAACCTTCAAGAGGTGGTTTCCTCCTCTGCCATATGGGTTCCTGGGATCATGCTCACATCATCAAGCTTGGCACCAAGCTCCTTTACCTGCTGAGTCCTCTTGTCAGCCCTTTTGGCCTCTTCTGACATCATATTTATATGATGCTGTTTTTGGCTGCCTGCCACTCGAAGATGCCCAGTAGAGGGACGGGAAACTCTCAGGTGGTCACCTGGACCCCATTTTCTGACTTCTGTTCCTCCCCCCTCCTGTTGGCTGTGTATCTTCTAGGGTGCCTTCAACATCTTAAAGCCTTCACCCAGGCTGATTCTCCAGCCCCATAAAGGTAACTAATGATAGCATTTAATTGAATGTTACCTGTGGGTTAGAGCTGTTGGGGAGCTGGTATGAGTTACTAAGTAGTTAATTAGAAAAGGATAGCAAAGGAAGGGCTGGATTGTGAAGACAGGAGAGGCGAGGACCCCTGGATAACAGCAGACATGTTGGCCAAAGACTGCAGAACAGATCCTGGCACGTCTGGCCATGGTAGGGTAAGAGGGAGGTACCAAGAGCTGCAGCTTAGGGAAGTATGAGTTGAGGGACTCAGTTACAGCACTTTACAGGTGGACTGGGCATAAGCGTGGTGGGCCAGACCTGGTCCTGGTGGGCTATGATCTGCTCGTCCCTCAAGCCACAACAGGAATGCAATGGCTCTAGAGAGCCCTCTCTGGATCAGAGAGCCGGTGCCAGGCTGCCCGGCAGGACAAGGAGCCCTTGTATAGGCTTGAGCATCAGATACTGCTCCACCTCCCTGGCCCTGGGGGGTTGGGGGATGGCAGTGGTCGGAAGTTCAGATCCTGAGGAGGCTGCAAGCTCACACTGCAGGGCTTCTGCTGGAACTGGGGGTCACCTGGAGGTCTCCAGGGAGCCAGGATGGAGCTGGGAACAAGCTCTGGTTGCTGGAGCCCGGGGTTGGAGTGGATGTGGGTGGGTGTGGGTTTGTGGCCTTCCCTGAACAGAAATGTTAAAGTTTCTAAGATAGCTTTTCCTTTGATCCTCATAAAAAAACCCCTGGAGATGAGTGCACAGAATGACTAACCACACTCCACAGGTGGGAAAACAGCCAGAGAGAAGAAGCTGTCACTAGGGCTATCTAGAGACAGGAAAAGGATGCTCTGGAGCCATACCCTTGGGTGTGGGGCTGAGAGGTGGGCAGAGAGCAGTTTGCTAAAGGATCTTTATGTTCGGAAGCCCGAGACTGCCTGGGATGGGAACCAGGATCCTATCTACTGTGAAAGTCAGATCCTCTCATGGGTCCCCTTCTTCCTCAGCCTCCCCGTTCATCCATGGCAGTCCCCTGGGAGCCCAGGCCAAGCCTGCGACATTCCAGGGAAAGGAGGTGCTGAAAAGCTGGTCCAGGGAAGCTCAGGGGCCACTGGGACAGCCCAAATCTACTTAGCTTTTCCTTGAAATTCCACACACCCTGGGCGTTTGGCAGGATCCTGGAATGTGCTTCATCGGAACAATTTGTCTTTCATGGTCCATTTGCATCAATCAGCCCATTGTTTAATGTCTTTGCTGGGACCACTCTGGCTAGCTGAGGCCTCCCGGCGCTTGTGGGGGACGGGTTAGGAATCAGAGGGTGCATATGGGCAAGGGCGACCTCTGGTGGCCCAATCTGTAAACACCCAGATTCCCTGGTTGAACATTTCCCCAATGTGACTCCTGTCCACCCCCCCCCACCCCGCCCCCCATTCTGTTCCTAGGAGTCCTGGAAACAATGTGAGAGAAATACTTTGGGAACTTAGAAGACATTAATAACCCGGTCACTTGATGAAAGCAGGGCTCCGTTGTGAGAAAAAAAAGACTGTCCAAGCCTGCAATCCATGCCAGGATTGCCCCCAGTGGCTGGGCATCCTCTCTGGGCCTACGGATTTATTTATAAAATGAATGAATGTGAGCTGGAGGGCAATATCGAACACTGCCAAAATCCCTTTGATTTTGAATCTAAATTTGAACCTAGAGTTTGAATTCTGGGTCTGCTATTTATCAGCCGAGCGCCAGCTGGTTGCGCCGATGAGTTTCTCCATCTTGTGAAATGAGGATAGTCGTGCCTTAGTGCTTGTTACGTGTGGATTCTATGTTTGGGAATTAGTCTTCTTTGTTAACACTTCTTTGTAATCAATCAAATCAGTACTTGTGGAGCTCAGGGTCATCGGCCACAGGCGGATGATCGTCCGGGGCACAGATACCCTGAGACTGCCGCATGAGGTGATTCTCCGGCCTCTGGCCTGTGAGTGTTGCTTTTTTAGAAGCTTTACTTATTTACTTTTATGTGTATGAGGGTTTTGCCTGTGTGTATGCACGTGTGCCTAGTGAGTGCCTGGTGCCTGCAGAGGTTAGAAGAAAGATTCCCCACAACTGGAGTCACTACGTGGGTGCTGGGAATCCAACCAAGGTCTTCTGTAAGAGCACCAAGCACTACTAACAGCTGAGCCATCTGTCCAGCCCCAACAAGTGTTCTTTTTCAGTTTATATAGTGCTATTTTTTGGGGGGAGGGTTATATTAATGCTTTTTGTTGGTGATCTTACTGTGCTTATCAAGCATAGCACAGCTATCCTCTCTGGGCTTCCTAAGTGCAAGAAGGCTGTGATGTATCTCACGGCGAAAGTATGTGAGATAGACCATTTTCACGAAGGGACGCCTTACAGTGCTGTTGCCTATGAATTCAATGTTAATGGGCAGTATGTATGTACTCAACAAGGTGTCTTTAAGCAGAAATACCCCCAAACATGCTATGAATTGACTAGTTGATAATCAGATTGTGTCCAGGGACTCCGAAGAACCAAACCCTATGTTTCTCCTAGAGCAAGTGGTCTCTATGAGCTGATAGAGTGCTCAAGTGACTTTATAAACATAATTTCTTCTTGAAATACCTACAGTCATTTCACAGCATGTCAGCTATGGATTCACAGGTAGTACGGTTGTCGCTGACCCATGATGTATGTGTTCACCAGCCTCCTGAAGTCTCTGACTCTCGTGGGGCCCTTAAGATCCCCATGTGCCAAGAAGAGGGATCCTCAAATGTGTATACCCAGAGACACATCAGCCCAGCTTCTCCACTCTTGCCTGGAACTTCCTTCAAGAACACTTAGTTCTCTGGGTTCTATTCAAAGGCCAGCACGGCTCTGGGTGACTCACAAAGGCTCTTTTCACTGACGTGACCTCATCAGATCCTCTCAACAATAGCAGGGTGGTGGCATCAGGGCTCCCTTTCTATGGATGAGCCTGGAGTTCACAGAGGCTAAGTAAGCAGCCCAAGGTCACCCAGTATGTTGGCAGCGGAGTCAAATTCCACTGTCTTTCCACCATGAAACATAAAGGCTCCGGAGGAGGTAAGAGCCAGATCTTGTTATTGATGCTTCAAGGTGAAGGAGTGCATTGAAGTCCCCAAGGAAATTGGCTGGGAGCAGGTGAGTGATAAATATCTTAGCACCCACTCTCCAGCCTCTGCCTCTGCTTGTGGATCCTCCCTCCTCCCACCTTCCAGGACCTGCAATCCCCAGGGAAGCTCCGGGTTACCTGCTCATCATCCTAGTCACCTTCTTAAAACACAGTTTGTTGCCGGGCGGTGGTGGCGCACGCCTTTAATCCCAGCACTCGGGAGGCAGAGCCAGGTGGATCTCTGTGAGTTCGAGGCCAGCCTGGACTACCAAGTGAGTTCCAGGAAAGGCGCAAAGCTACACAGAGAAACCCTGTCTCGAAAAACCAAAAAAAAAAAAAAAAAAAAAAACACAGTTTGTTCTGATGGCCCTGCCTCCCGAGAGCAGACAAGACGCTTTTGCCTACAGGAGGGTCCTGTCCACACTGCACACATTCAGGTAGGGAAATCCACGATCAGAGGAGGGCAGATGCTCTGTCTGAGGAGGGTTGCCCTTTCTGGTTTTCAGAGAGTTGCTTCTTGTTATGTCTACACAGTCAAGAAAAATCCTGGTCTTTCTCAAGTCTGTTCTGCAAGGGTACCAATCCTGTGCATGAGGCCTCCACCCCTTCCCACCACCCCCACCACCCAGGTGACCTGATCACCACCCAAAACTCCATCTCCTATACCACCCAGCAGGGGTTATGATCCCAATACATGAAAATTTTCCTTTCTTAACAGGTGCTTCGAGCTCCTGAGCCAGAGAAGCCCTGAGACAGGCATGGGCGGAGGACACTTCACTGTGGACACTCTACCTCACTGGCCTCCATTTTCTTCCATTTCATCAACTCCCCTAACTTTTCCTCCTGAGAAAGCTACAGCCTCTGGGATATGGATGCCCTTCATTTCCGGATACCCTACATGCTCTGGCTCCCCTCCTTCCTCACTCAGGGGCTGTATTCTAGTGTGCTTCCCCCCTCCCCGCCCCCCCAGCTCATTCTTTTAAAAAACTATGACCAAATAAACATAGTTAAATTTGCCTCTGATCATGGTGGCCTACACTTATAATCCCCACACTTGGGTAAATAAAGGCAGGAGGATCGTGAGTTCAAGGCCAGCCTTAGTTATCCAGCAGGGCTAACCTGGGCCATAGGAGGCCCTGTCTCAAAACTCAAAATAAATGCATAAATAAATGAATAAGTATTCCCATGTTGATCATATCTAAGTGTCATGTCACTATTCACACTGGGGTGTGCCGGTCATCAGTCTACGTGGATCTTCATCTGGCAAAACTGTGAAGCAGCAGCGCCCCTTCCTACTCCCCCCCTACTCCCCACTCCCACTTCCCTCCTCCCCACCCCCACCCCTACTTCCCACCCCCACCCCCTTCTCCCCACCCCACCCTCTACCTCACCCCACCCCCTACTCCCCACCCCCACCCCACCCTGAACTCCCCACCACTCCTTTAAGCCCTGGAAGCCTCCTTCCAGGTTCTGTCTTCTGAATCTGACTACTCCAGGAACTCTAGAAGGGGACTGATGTAGCATTTGTCTCTTTGTCACTGGTTTCTCTTCTTCGATAATATCAAAGTTCGCCCACGCTGTAGCCTGGGTCAGAATTTCCTCCCTTCTGCATTCGATTCTGCTGTGTGCACACCCCATGTTGTGTCGGTCTGTTCCTCTCTCTTGACCTCCGGTGACTGTGAATGATGCGGCTCCCGACAGGAGTGTGCAAAGATGTCTTCCAGATCTTGCTTTCCAATCTTCGTGTTGAGTTTTTGAGGCAGAGTCTCACCGTGTAGCCCAGCCTGGCCTCAGACTCACAATCCTCCTGCCTCTCCCTCCCAGAATGCTGGGATTACAGGTGTGTACCACCATGTTTGACTGTACTTCAAAGTCTTTTGGGTATATATCCAGAAGTGGGATTCCTATATTATCTAATAAATTTATTTTTAATTAAAAATTTTAGATTTATTTATTTTATTTTCTGTGTATGAATGTTTACTTACATGGATGTACGTGTGTCATGTGTGTGCCTCGCATCTGATGAGGTCAGAAGAAGGCGTCAGATCCCCTGGAACTGGAACTACATCTATAGACCCCCCATGCAGATGCTGGGACCTGAACCCGGGTCCTCTGCAAGCAGCCAATGCTTTCAGTGGCCGAGCTATCCCTTCAGGCCCAGCTAGCTTTACTTTTCAGATCGTGAGGCCCTGCCGGACCGTTGTCTGCAGAGCTATCCCATTTGGCCTCCCACCAACGATGCATCAGGTTCCAAATCCTCCACTCCCACCAACACTCATCCCTCCCTCTGGGTTTGCTGGTGGCTGTCCTGATGAGTGGTGTGCAGCTTCTGTTTGCTTATGAGACAGAGTCCCCTTGTGGGCTAGGCTGGACTTTATCAACCAGTTTCCTGACTCTGTCTCCAGGGCGCTGGGGCCGCAGGTGTGGGTCTCCATACAGTCTGGCATGCAGTTTTGATTTGTATTTCTCTAATGGGTGGTGAAGGTGAACATTTTTTTATGGCTTATTGACTATTTACATAGCTTCTCTGGGGAAATGTGTCTATTTAAATCCTTTAATCTGTGTGGGATGGCCCTCCCAAGTGACTGTCAAGCTATCTGCTCCATTTCACACTTAAGGTAGGACCCTCTCCATAGCCACCTTTGTTTTTACTTTTATTTGTTTTGTGGTGTTAGGGAGCAAATTTGGGGCCTTATGCCTTCTAGGCATGGGCTCTGCTACTGATCTGTATCCCCAGCCTTAATTACCTTTTTAAATATAATTTTTATTATATTTTAAGATGTTACTGATTGCTCATTCTGTATTATTCATATATAAATGAATATTCATATATGAATATTATATGTATATATCTAATATATATATATATTAGAGAGAGCGTACTCAGGCTGGCCTGGTTCTTGCTATGTAGCCCAGGGTGATCTCAAACTTGTAATTTGTAATTCTCCTGCCTCAGCCTTTTGGGATGATAGTCCCATAGCACCATGCCCATTTCAATTTTATAATATTTGATAATGATGATACATATGGTTGGGGTTTCCTTCCTAACTTATACTGAAATCTAGTTGCCATTGTAATATCGTTTGGAGGCAGGACCTCTAAGAGCAGACTCGGGCACAGAGGCTCCGCCTTTGAGGGTGATTTTTTTTTTTGGTTTTTTTGAGACAGGGTTTCTCTGTGTAGCTTTGCACCTTATCTGGATCTCGCTCTGTAGATCAGGCTAGCCTCGAACTCACAAAGATCTGCCTGTCCCTGCCTCCCAAGTGCTGGGATTAAAGGTGTGTGCCACCACTGCCCGGCGAGGGTGATTTTTTTTAAAGGCCCTTTAAAAAGGGACTCTCAGCAGTGGTAGCACACACCTGGAATCTAAGCACTTGTGAAGCTGAGGCAGGAGGATAGCCTAGAGTTAGAAACCAGCCTGGGTTACACAAAGTGTTTGAGACCAGCTTGGACTATGTGGTGTGTTTGAGGCCAGCCTGTGCTATATAACAAGAGCCTCCTCACTTTTTCCAAAGATTCTACAGTAAGTAGCTAGACTAATGTGTAAGGGGGCTCTTTCTCGCCTGTTTATTTCTGCTATGTGGGAAGGTAGCATGAAGCCCTTGCCAGATATCAACACCTGATCTTGGAGTCCTCTGGCTCTAGACAGGGAACGAATGGGTCTCTATAGGTTGCAGATTCCCCCATCCTGGGCATTCTGTTTCAGCCATCTGTGGTGGACTAGGTGGTGATGATGATGATGATGATGGTGGTGGTGATGATGATGATGATGGTGGTGGTGGTGGTGGTGATGATGATGATGATGATGATGATGGTGTTGGTGGTGGTGATGATGATGATGATGGTGGTGGTGATGATGATGATGGTGGTGGTGGTGGTGGTGATGATGATGATGATGATGATGATGGTGTTGGTGGTGGTGATGATGATGATGATGGTGGTGGTGATGATGGTGATGGTGATGATGATGGTGTTGGTGGTGGTGATGATGATGATGGTGGTGGTGGTGATGATAGTGATGATGATGGCTGTGGTGGTGGTGGTGATGATGATGATGATGATGATGATGGTGGTGGTGATGATGATGATGATGGTGGTGGTGATGATGATGATGATGGTGGTGGTGGTGGTGGTGGTGATGATGGTGATGGTGATGATGATGATGATGGTGGTGGTGATGATGATGATGATGATGGTGTTGGTGGTGGTGATGATGGTGATGATGATGATGATGGTGTTGGTGGTGGTGATGATGGTGATGGTGATGGTGATTGCCTCACACTTGGCCTCTAATTCTCTCACCTTCCAATCCCTTTTTATATCTACATGAACCATAATGTCACCCTGGCTTACAATCCTTTGATGGGTGCCGTATAAATGCACGAAGGTCGTGCTCCCTAGTACCTGCTATCACCTCTACGTCCGCTCTCAGCTACACCATCACCTTCTGCTGGTCCACAGAGTAGCCCTTCGCATCCTAGCAAGAACAAAGTACTTGGAATCTCCTCATTCATTCATTCATTCATTCCTTTTCATGTCCCTTTGCTGCTTGCTCTGTTCTTGGGTCTGCAATGCCTTCTCTCTGGTTGCCCGACAAGCTCTTGTATGTCCTATATAACCTGGCTTGGGGACATACCCTCTCGGAGATAATTTGTCACCTTTCCCCCTTCTGCTCTTGATCAAATCTCTTGCACATGCTAGGCCAGTGCGATACACTGAGGTATATCTCAAGAAACTTTCCTTGAGATAAAGTCTCATCTTGTAGCCCAGGCTAGCCCAGAACTTAAGATCTCCCTGTCTCCTGAGTTCTGGGATTACAGAGGTGTGCTACTGTGGCTGGCTACATCTTCCTTCTTCACGGGACAAGAAAGCACAGCTGTTATTACGTGTGTCACAAATGTTTGGGGGAAACTTTCAGGTTCATGTAACAACAAAATGGGAGAAGTTAGTTTCTCTCTGGATTTTGGTATGAATCACAAAGAAGTCACATATATTAGGCTCAAGGAGGGGATAGGAGATGTGTTTCAGTTTCCAGTCTGAACCCCTGAATAATTCTGAGGTAGTCATATCAGGAAGTGTAAATGTTGGTGGGAGAGAAATGTCATTTTGACACAGGATGTGGAACTTTGGGCTCCCTGGACTCCACTAGCCACTTTTAAACCTCTATAATATATTGAAATTAATGTAATCCTGAAACATAATATATTGACATCTTTATTGAAAGATATCCATATTGAAAAATATATCTTTCAGTAGTGCACACAACAGCATGAATTTTCTTCAGCTGGCTTTGGCTCTCCTGAGCAGTTAGAACTAGGTCCACTTTCTCCCAGCTCCACGCTGCCTTCTAGTGTCAACTATAGGTATAGCAGTCCTTCGGGTTTTCTCAGCAGCTTCTTGGCTATGTCCAGAGAAGAACAAGGGCAGGGTGTGTGTGTATGTGTGTGTGTGTGTGTGTGTGTGTGTGTGTGTGTGTGTGTGTGTGTGTGTGTGTGTGTGTGTGTGTGTGTGTGTCTGTGTGTGTCTGTGTGTGTGTCTGTGTCTGTGTGTCTGTTTCTGTGTGTCTGTGTGTCTGTGTCTCTGTGTCTCTGTCCAGTACACCACAATCAAAGTCTCTAAGTCCTTGGAGACACCTGTTGCACGTATTACTGGTGTCCTCTTCCCCGTGCATCCTTGACATCTCTGAGCCCTCTGGAACTGGAGTGTGTAAGAGGTTACGGCTCTCAAAAGTGTGGTGCGTGACCGGTTGTAGGTTTCAGAGGTTCCCAAAGAAAGCTCTATCTTCTCCCTGAAAAGCTGAGAACAGCACACTCCGTTAGCACTTCGAGGGAACTCCTGGGTGGGCCCCGAGGAAGACCTCAATTTAAGGAAGACGAACATTGTCAGAGCTGCTGGACAGGGGTTACAGATGCTGACAGGTCCATCCTGAGGCTGCACTTGTTGCTTTCCAAGCCTGCCTTCCCTGGTATTGATCTGGAGGAGCTCACTGGAACAAGGAATGCATGCAGAACGTTCAGGGAGGG